CTGCTGAACAGCCCACAGCGCGCAGGGCGGCAGCGCAAACGTCATCTGGTCCCAAAAGCCAGACAGGCTGAGCTTGAGAAACCCTGCTTCCCGTCATGGAGATGATCTCTTCCATTCCCAAAGCAGGGACTCACTTTCCCAGCCAAGTGCAATGACTCACACACAGCCAACTAAGCAGTTCAAGTCCCAGGCTCGGCGGCTTGAGAAACACGCCAGGCACGTGTGCACAGCCACTGTCCTCAGCCAAAGGCTTGCGGAGGAGGCTGAGGCCCCTTCCTGCTCCTCCCTCCTTTACTCACTCTGATTCACCCCAGCGAGGCCCGTTGTCCTTTAAAACAGCCAGGAGACTGCCTTGCTTACTAAAACTGAGCCATGGAGAAGGCAGCCTGGGATTCTGGAAACGGTGTCAGGGAGCCCTCCACCCAGGGGGAGACTCAACAAGCATCTATGAACTCAGGGGCATGTCCGTTTGGTCCCCGTCAAAGCTGCATCTGTGGGGCCTCAGTCCTGAGCTGTGCTGTCACCAGCTTCCAGGGTGCCAGGAGGAGAGACAAGGAGAAGGAATGCAGCATGACCATGGCCCCTGGGGGGTGCTTTCTCACCTCTCTTCTGCCCCCACCCCCCAACGAGTTCATACACCCTCTGGCAAAAACAAGGAGAGGCATGAGTGAGCCCCAGAGCACAAGGGCAAGAGGACCCACCTCCCTTCCCAGGTCACCCAGACTCAGGCTGAGCAGGAAGTACTGCCGTCCCTCCGTGCATCCTCCCAGGAGCCTAGCTGTGTGAAGCCTCGGCCATCCTATTGCCACCGCTCACGCAGGCAGGCAGGGACCACCTGAATCGTGCCGTGCCATGACCCCAGGGGAGGCAGTGGTCCTCCAGCCCCCCTTCTCCAAGCCAGCATGTCTCCCTCCCTCTCTACACTGTCCCTTCCGAGCAGCCGCTGGTGGACCTCGCCCCTCTTGGTGAACAGCTCCACTCGGCCTCTGCACTCTTCCCCAGCTCAGACACCTGGGTCTCACGCCTGTGTCTCAGCCCTCCAGAACCTTGGAAAGACTTCCCTTTTCTGATTTGGTGCCCAGCTGACCTGGGCTGGCAGGCAGCTCCTTCCCACCTGCAGCCCTGGGTCTCAGCCGTCACCTGCTCTCACCCACATGGGCACTGAGCTGGCTAGAGGTGCTCACACAGACAGCAGCTGCCTTGGCCTCAGCCCAGGCTGCAGGAGAGGCTGTGGAGATGACTCCAGGGCCCCTTTCCCCCTCACTCCCCTCAAGCACTGGAAACCTCTGATAAAGAAGGCAGAGGAGGGGAACCAGCAGTTAGCCTAATGGCTATGTCGCTGGACTCCCACGTAGTCGACCGCGGTTCGTGTCCCGGACCCGGGGGGTTAAAACTCACGCCGGGCGCGTGTGCGTGCGTGCCCAAGATCCCGAGAGGAGGATGGAGGAGAAGGGATTGCGGCGTGACCATCCCCTCTGGGGGGTGATTTCTCGCTTTCTGTCTCTATGTCTCTCTCTGTCTCTCTGGCGAGCGCACGCGCCCTACAGTGAAAGTCTCTCAAAAAAAAAAAAAAAAAAAAAAAAAAGAAGGCAGAGGAGGGCTTCTGCCTTGTGTGTGTCCAGGATGAAAGGATCTCCAGGTGGCACTACAGCTTTGCGTGTCTTCTACATGGGGGCGGGGAGGCTCGGCAGGCCAACTCATCCTCCCAGAGCTGGCCTGAGCCCCTTCAACTAAGAAGACACTCTCAGCAGGGAAATGATCAATCCTTCTGAGAGGAGACCCTGCTGCTAATGCAACTCAGAGTTTGCAAGGCTCTCCACTCCTCCACGTTGCTGGGGTGGCAGCAGGTGGCTCCAAATGTCCCCCCTTCCGCACTCCCACTCACCGATCTCCTCGTACCGCATCACCGTGCCCAGGTTGGCGTTCTCATCTACGAAAGAGGAGGGAACACAGAGACGTTAGGGAATAGGCATCCTAGTACCCAGCATGCCATCTGCCCAAGGGGCCCTCAGGAGGAGTAGCTGGGGCCTCAGGAGGAGCAGCTGGGGTGTGGAGGGGGCATGCAAAGAAAGAAGGCGTCCTTCCCACCCAGGGGACGTCGGGAGAGAGCGTGGAGAGCACAGTCAAGCACAGCTGAGAGGGGGCAGCCCTGCTGCCCAGGGCAGGACTTCACATTTGGGGAATCTCAGAAGCAGATGCCTCTCCGGAACTGGAGACGAGCATGCACACACGCCTGCTGAGTGGCTTCTGTGGTCTCTGTAGCTTAGGGAGGCTGTCCCCAGAGCAATGCCCTCAAAACCTAAGGAGATGGCCTCTTAGTCACAAGAGGTGACCCTGGTTCCTTAAGGGTTACCTGGCTTAAAGAATAAGCAAAGCTGAAAACACTGAGGTTTTCATTTTTGTTTCTTTAATGACAGAATGTACCAAGAACCCGAGGGGAGAAGGGCAGAGACTTGGTGCGCACTGTCACCTGGGCCATGCCCACATTCTGTGGACATGCTATCTGGGTCCCGTGTCCCTCCTCTGCCTCCAAATCTAAGAAATGGAACACCAGCCCCAAAGAATCAAAAGAATGATGTCTCAGCCTTCAGCTCTCTGCAGAGATGAGCGGGGGGTTTGCAGGAGGGAGAGCCCCAGTGGTTCTGATGTTGTCACCCATGCTCCCTGGGGAGCAGCCAGCACACAGGCAATGCAGGAAAGAGCGTGCCTCTCAGCAGCGCAGACAGCCAGAGCTGGGAGGACCGGCAGGGACTCCGGGCCCACTGCACAGCTCTCCGTGTGCCGGCATACACTACGGGGGAAGGGGGTGGAGGAATAGCACAGCCCTGGCGGGGGGTGCCCAGGGCGGTCTCCCAGGCAGCCCCAGGCCAGGCTGACCATCACAGCTTGGCCCTGTGGCCCTGGTGGCACTGCTGTGACCTCTGCCCTCTTTCAATTATTGCTCTATAAATAGTCATCCCACAATAGGCTGTCTCAGTCTCTCAGCTGCCGTAACCAAATACCATAGGCTGGGCGGCTTGTCCGGGGCAGAAATGTGTTTCTCACCGTGGAAGACCAAGGTGCGGCAGGCTCAGCATCTGCTGAGGGAATGTTCTGGTTCACAGGTGGAAGACACTAGCGAGCTCTCGGGCCTGTTCAATAAGGGAACTAATCCCGTTCTCCAGGGCTCCACCCTCAGGCTCTAATCCTCTCCCAGAGGCCCCACTTCTTAATTCTACAACCTTGAAGATCAGGACTTCAGTGTAAGAACGAAGAGGAGGGGGCATAAACATTCAGAGCTAGCCCAGGTGCTGGGGGGTTGGGGTGTTCTCTGAATGAACAGAGGGAGGGGGAGAGAACAGAGCGGGGACTGGGAGGGGGCTTCCTTACCCACGAAGGTGAAGCGCTCCACAGGAGGGCGGACGCAGCAGATCCTGCTGAGGCTTTCTCCCACCTTCCCCAAGATCTTGGCTGTGGGAGAGAGCGGGACAGACAGGGCAGCAGGAGAGATCCACTCACAACCTGCACCTACATCAGCCCAGCTTTGGGGCCACCGTTAGCAACGAGGGGAACATGGGATGGTGGGGGAGGGTGACTAGCAGGTGGCATGGTGGTTAAGGTGCTGGACATTCCCACATGGCCAACCATGGTTTGAGTCCCAGACCTGGTGGCTTGCTTTCCCACTTATCCTCTCTCTCTCTTTCTATCTCTCTCTCTGGTCAAATTAAAAATAAATGAATAACTAAATAAAATGAAATAAATAATTCTTTTAAAAAAGAATTAAAAGAATTATTTAATTTTATTTATTATTATTTTTTAATTTGACCAGAGAGGGAGATGGAAAGAGAAAGAGAGGGAAAGTGAGAAAGCAAGCCATTAGGTCTGGGACTCGAACTGCAGTCAGCCATGTGGGAGTCAAGGTCTTAACTACCACACCACCTGCTGCCCTCAAAACTTCCTCTTTTTATTCACAGTCTGAGGCACAAGCACTGTGGGCTATAGACTGGAGTCTATTTTCTGGTCACATTTATTCATTGAAATTGAAAAACTGGGGCCAGCTGGTAGAGTAGTGGTTATGTCGCGGGACTACTGCAGTTCGAATCCCAGGTCTGGTAGCTTGAAAATTCCCATCAGGAACATGTGCATGCATGCCCAAGACTCTGGGAGGAGTATGGAGGGGAAGAGAATGAGACGAGAGACCATCCCCAGGGGTGGGAGGGTGATTTCTCACTTTCCCTCTCACTGTCTCTCTGGTGAGTGCATGTGCCCTAAGGCAAAAACTTCTTTTAAAAACTTGTTGAAAAATTGGAAAGCACAGAGAAGGAAAATATATAAAGAGAGAAAGAAAAAGTATCTATAATTCTACACCTAGAGATAACCACTGCTTACATAATTTATTTTCTTCCCCTGTTTTTTTGTTTGTTTGTTTGTTTTATTTTTTAGAGAGATTTTTGCTATAGGGTCTGTATACTTGCCAGAGAGACAGAGGGACAGAAAGCAAGAAGCCCCCCTCCCCCCTGCCCCGGGAGGATGGCCATGCTGTAATCCCTTCTCCTCCACTCTCCTCTTGGGATTTTGGGCACACAAACTCATGTGTCCGCTATGAATTTAAGCCACTGGGTACAGGACTCGAACCATGGTCAACTATGTGGGAGTCCAGTAACATAACCATCACGCCATCTGCTGGTCCTTCCTCTTCCCCCTTTTTAATATCAGAGGGCATCCGTACAAGCCAGAAAGAGAGAGAGAAAAGTACCCTCTATTGCAGCCTGGTCACACTGCAATTGTTTCCTCCTTTTCTCCATCTGGTCAGGATCCTGGGCAGGCACACACATGTACTTAGTATGTTTTTCAAGTCTCCAGGGCCAGAATTTGAAAAGTGGCCATATGGGGTCCAGCTCCCTTAGCTCAGAGCTTAACTACTGTGCGATGGGGTGGGTTCCGTCCACCTAAGGTGGGTCAGATTCTCCGTTGAAAGAGCACGACTGGATGGGCTCTGTGGCACAGTGGTGATGCGCTCCTCAGGGGAAGCTGGATCCCACATGGTGACCTCTGCTTGAATCCTTGTCCTGGTCAGCCTGAAAAACTTGCCAGGCCAGCAGGTGTCATGGTGGTTAGGTTGCTGGACTCCCACATGGTTGACTGCAATTTGAGCCCTGGACATGGCAGCTTGAAAATCCTGCCAGGCGCGTGTGCATGCCTAAAATCCTGAGAGAAGAATGGAGGGGAAGGGATGGTGGAGTAGCCATCCTCCCTAAAGGGTGATTGCTCACTTTCCCTCTCTGTTTCCCTCTCTATGGTGAATACACTTGCCCTTCAGTAAAAAACTTAAAAAAGAAACAAAAACCAGGTACACATACAAACACGCCAGGCACACGTGCAAGTGCCCAAGATCCAAGGGGCTGCAGGACAAGGGATGGGATCGTGGTGTGACCAGACTGAAAGCTACTCATGTCTTTCTTTTCCATTCTTATGTGACTTTATACACATTCCACCATGGATAAAGAAAAACATAACAGAAAGGGTATTATACACAGGACCTTCAAAAGGTTCATGAAAAAGGCATATTATGAAATAAACATGCATGGATCTCAAGAAATTTTTGCACCAAAATATTCTCGTACTTTAATTTCATTTTTCCACGAACTTTTGAAGATCCCCTTGTATGCTTTCGGTTTTTCTTAGCTTTCCTATATGCATTTCTACTTGGGTGTGTCTGAAGCCTGGCCTTAGCCACGCCCACACTGGCAGTAACACCCACATGAGAGGCGACTCCGCCATGGCAAAGCACACACTTGGAATCATTTCTGCCAGGCTCAGGCATTCCTTCTCAGGCAGATGGTCTTTAGAATAATGAGATCTCCTGTTTGGTTGAGAGGGATCTGGTTTTTAACTATCTCTCTGGGCTCCAATCCAGAAAATGTTCCAGAACCCCACATGTAGCTGCATGCAAACTGTAAAATTCTGGTCCTTTGTGAATTATTCTGTTTCTAATAGACCAATAATGTAGTAGCTTATGGCCTCTAAGCCCAAAAGGCAGTTGCAGAATCTCTCTGGGAATTAGGTGGAGGAAAATGTCAGAGCATAGATTGTGAAACCTGACAGTCCTGCAAATGAATTCTAGCTCTTCTGCTTGTAAGCTGTGTGACTTCAGGTAAACCGCATAGCTTCTCTAAATCTCAGTTTTCTCTATGTAAATGGGAACATGAGAGCTAGATCACAGAATTACTCCATTAAATAAGAATGCATTGGGGCCAGCAGGTGTTGTGGTGGTTAAGGTGCTAGATTCCCAACATGGCCAGCTATTGTTCGAGTCCTGGACCTGGTGGCTTACTTTCTCATTTTCCCTCTCTTTCTTTCTCTCTCTGGTAAATTAAACAATAATAATAATCATAAACAAATTAATTAAATAAATTATTCTGGGGACCAGCAGATGGCATAATGGTTATGTCACTGGAATATACATGGTTGACTGCAGTTTGAGTTCCAGACTAGGTGACCTCAAACTCACACCAGGCACATGTGCATGAGTGCCCAAAATCCCCAAAAGAGAATGGAGAAGAAGGGATTGTAGCATGGCCATCCTCCCTGGAGGGTGATTTCTCACTTTTGCTTTCTCTCTGTGTCTCTCTTGTGAGTGCATATGCGCTATAGCATATGCGCTCTCTCTCTCTCTCTCTCTCTCTCACACACACACACACACACACACACACACAAATACTATGCATGGTTTTCAAAAATTTCTGCACTGGGACCAGCAGGTGGCATGGTTATTAAGGTGTAACTCTCCTTCGAGTCCTGGACCTGGTGGCTTAAAACTCATACTGGGCATGTGTGTGTGCATGCCCAAAATCCCAAGAGGAGGAGAAGAGATTGTAGCATGACCATACTGCCTGGGGGGCGGTGATTTCTCATTTTCCCTCTCTCTGTCTCTCTCTGGTGAGTACACATGCCCTATGGCAAAAACAAACAAACAAACAAACAAAAAAACACACACACACACAAAGAACAACAACAAAAAAATTCTGCACCAAAAGAAACTGGTACATTAACTCCACTCCCCCCAACTTTTTGAAGTCCGTCACATTTATATCTAAATGCAGAAGAAAATTCTCACCACCACCCCCTCAATGCGATTGTGAATACTTTGCTCCAACGCTTTGTATTAATGGTTCTCAACGCACAGTCCCAAGACCAGCATCCCCTTATTAGAAACACAGACCCCCTCCCTCCCACACTGACTGAACTGAATTCCAGGGTGGAGCCCAGCCATGGTGTTTGAAGACATGCTCCTGGTGTCTCAGGTCTGAGAGCCCCCAGGCCAGAGCGCCTTACCTGCAGTGGGCTTGGTGGGCACGTTGTTGTTCTGGTAAATGGGCTGGGGCGTCTCATGCTGGGGCTGTCCGATCACAGGCGTCACGGAGGGGGTGTTGACATTGGAGAGGATGCAGCCAGTCACCCTCTAGGCAGAAGAAGTGCTGAGTCAAGGTCATTAGCCAAGAGACTTGGGAAAGCATTTCGCAGCTCTCTGTAGTCATCTGCTTGTCCATCACGGGGTGGCTGCCCAGAGCAGGGGAGAGCCCTGGGCGGGTTCTAGACCCAGCAGTACCCCAAGGCCACTAGGTTGGTAGGAAACAGGACAACTCAGAGGGAAAAGCAGGGACTTGGTGTCACATAGAGCAGGCTACAAATTCAGACCCATGTGACCTTGGACAGCTCCTAAACCTCAAGGGTCTAACAATACCCCTGCCTTTTTAGCCAGTGGAGGGTTACCGGAGAGAGCATTTGCAAATTGTCTGCAGAGTGCCTGGCCATAAGCAGCGGCCAGTGTCTTCAACCTCTGTGTAATACGAGGACCTGCCCTCCTGCCTGCTTCATGGGGCTCAGATGAGACTGTCTGCGGGCTCTGTCCCCTTGGGAAAGGTCACGCAAACACAAGGCACCATCACCACCTGCGGTCTCTTCAGGCGGAGATGTCAATCACAGGCCCAAGCCAGAGAGCAGTGCCAGGCAGCGTGGGCGTGTTTGCACTGCAGGAAGGGGGGTGGCTGGCTCCTGAGCACTCCCGTGCCTGCTGCCTGGTGTGAATGCACATTCCAGAGCCAACGGAAATTCTCCATGTGTTATCCATGGTCTAGTGTTATCTGCCTGCTGCTTCTGCTCCAGCGAAGGTACAGGGCTGGTAATGCAGCAGTCTTCGCAGACGACCCCGAAGCATCCTGCTTGCCCACGGGAGTGGAGGAGCTACTGGGCACTGAGAAACATAGGCCGCATTCCCAGTATGCTTTGCTTCCCCAGAACCCTTGCTCATTCAGGGTCCCTGCCCTGAGCGCCAGCATCTCAGGCATGATGGCATCCCCGACTCTTTCTGAATGACTTGAGTCTTGATGCCAGGTGACCCCAAGCCCCAGGGCTGGGGTGACCCTCTGGGTACCTCCTCTGCAGCCTTTCTGCAGGCAGGACAGCACCTGGGTCCTTCTGACAGGCAGGCATTTGTCTCATGGGGTGACTTGTCATTTGTATGAAATCCCTGACAGGAGTGGGCCACAGGAACCTCCAGCTGCGTTTGGGAGCCAGGGTCAACCACAGGGTTTTCTCAGCCTGCTTTGTGGACACTCTGCCCAGCTGGTCCTGGTGGAGTGGAAGGGTGCTGAGCCTCCTTATAGTATTCATTCAGCAGAAAATCAGACGCCACATTCTTTTTTTTTTTTTGAGAGGTTTTTGTTATAGGGCATGTGCACTCGCCAGAAAGACAGAGAGAGACAGAGAGACAGAAAGCGAGAAATCAACCCCCAGGGGCGATGGCCATGCTGCAATCCCTTCTCCTCCATTCTCCTCTCAGGATCTTGGGCACACACGCACACATGCCCAGTGTGAGTTTAAGCCATCGGGTCCGGGACTCGAACCACAATCGGCTACATGGTAGTTCAACGACATAGCCATTACACTAACTGCTGGTCCCAGCAGATGCCACATTCTTATTGAGGACTGGTCTGGTGGCTGAGGGGTTGCTTCCTCTTGCAGCATGGAGTCGCCTTCCACTTGTTCTACTGCATAGAAGCAGTTGGCCGCAAGCCCAGCTCTTGGCATGTCAGCCCTCTGTGGCTTTCTGGTCTAAGCCGTCCCAGATATCATCCTGAATACCCATCACACCACGCCTCTATTGCTCTGGCAGGTCTACTCTCCAGGCCAGGAACACCAGCCTCATCCCAGGACCGGGAAGGCGGGGCGTCACTGGAGGCAAAGTGCTCCCACTCCAGGCAGGGGCCATGCATGACCTACATTCTCTGCCAGCCTCTGCTCATCCTGCCACAGCTGGGGCTCCTGGCAGAGCTCCTCTGGCCCGGATTCATGCCCTGGGCGTGAGTAACAGAGGGGAAGTTCAGGAAACCCAAGCATTTAGACAGTAAAACAATAACCAGGCGGGACCAGCAGTTGGCGTAATGGCTATGTCGCTGGACTCCCATGTAGTCATCCATTCTTTCAGGCCCGGACCTGGGAGCTTAAACTCATGCCGGGTGCGTGTGCGTGCATGCCCAAGATCCCGAGAGAAAAATGGAGGAGAAGGGATTGCGGCATGGCCATCTCCTCTGGGGGGTGATTTCTCGCTTTCTGTCTCTCTGTCTCTCTCTGTGTTTCTGGTGCGTGCACGCGCCCTACAGCAAAACCTCTCTAAATGAATAAATGGCCAGAACAACCAGTGCTAGGAAATGCTTCCACTTCTGTCATGGAGCCTGAGGCTGCTGTGTGACCTGTAGGTGCACAGGCCCCAGGTGACCTGGAGCGTGGAAAATTAACTTGTGTTAGGGTCAGGGGGTAGTGCAGCTCTGCAAGGCAGTCCCACACGGGAAGGTTCATGACCCCAGTCCAGAACCCTCTCTGAGTATGCCAGGCAAACACTCCCTCATGATACAGGGTTGGCTGAGGCTGGAGGAGGATTTGTGGCATCAGGATCCTGTTGAGGGTGCTGTTGTCTCTGTCTCTGTCTTTGTCTCTCTCTCTGTCTCATGCATGGAAGAAATAAATAATCTTAAAAAAAAAAAAAAAAAAAAGCACCTTGTGTGAAGCTACTGAAATGTTAAGGCTGTTTGTTACTGCAGCCTATCTTAGCCCGTCCTGGCTGGTACAATTTTGTACAGTAAGATGAGTGTCTTTCTTCACGACTGCTGTTAAGACCAGCACAGAAGAGCAAGTCAGTGTGACCCCATGCAGAGTCTTTTCAAGAGGACCTAAAAAGAGCCAAGATGTACGTAAAGGGTTCTGAAAGTGGTGGGAAGGGAGATCCATTTTCTTCAATTCCACTGGGGGGAAAACTTAGTAGATAATACCCAGTCGGCCTCCACTTCTCCCTGTTCTAGAGCCCTAAAGCTCCACATCTATTAAAATAAAGCACAGTTGGGACCAGCAGATGGCATAATGGTTACATCTCTGGACTCCCACTTAGTCAACCATGGTTTGAGCCCCAGACCCAGTGACTTAAAACTCATACTGGGCCTGGGTGTGTGCCTGTCCAAGATTCTGAGAGAACAGAGGACAAGGGATTGCAGCGTGGCCATCCCTCCTGGGGGTTGATTCTCGCTTTCTATCTCTCTGTCTCTCTGGTGAGTACACGTACCCTATAGCAAAAATCTCTCAAAAATAAAATAAAATGAAGCGTAATTGTGTAGTTGGTGTGGTGCTGAGTCAGGGAGTAAGGCTGCTCCCCAAGGACAGGATTGTGATAGACACTCCAATAGAGCAGAGGCTCTCCCTGCATCAGAACGCGCCTCATACATGGTCATCGGGGCTGGGGAAGGCGCCACGTCAGAGTCAGGAGGTGAAAGGACTTGTCCTCGTCTTGGCCAGTCAAGCTTCCTGCCATTGACGGCGCGGCATGTGTCTGTCACTGTGGGAGCTGATGGGTCAGCGTTGATCTGGGAAGGATACTTCTGCACTTGTTAGCCAGTTTGTGGTCTCCACAGGCTGCAGCTCGAGTGGGGTTCGGATAGGAAGTGTTCCCAGTCCGCATTCACTAAGCACTCCCTGCAGACCCTCAGATCCTGGGCTCCTCCCTGCCCTTCCTCTTTCCCACTAAACACAGCCAGCAGATCCCATTTGCAGGGGCCCTTGTCAGGAGAGTGCTGAGGATGCGGTGCAATGCCTGGCAGGTGTGCAGTGCCTCTGCCTCAGCAGCCTGTGCTGAAGCAAGGGCGGGTGGTCCCCAACAGGCAGGGGAGAGAGCTTGGCCACTGCTCTCTTGCAAGGGCTCCTCCCTGCTGCAGCCTTCCTTTCTCAGCCTCGTCCTGTCTCCATCTTCTGAAGTCCTGCAACTGGGCTCCTTAATTGCACCTGAACTTACTCCCAGCTTAACCAACCAAGTCATATCCCACAGCAATGCCCCCAACAGGAGACCCAGTTAGAGGGTGTGAGGCAGGGAGCAGTCTCTGGGGCTCCTCCTGGCTCCTAATTCACTGCTCCCTCCAGGCTGGTCACTCCCACAGCTGACAGAGGAAAAGGAAGCTGAGACCAGGCTAGTGAGCCAGCAGCCCCCTGGCTTCTGTGGGCCTCTCCCCAGCACCCTGGTGGCCCCACACCCCCCAGCTGCAGCCCAGCTCACCTTCATGAGGTCGCGGTGGTGTTCCAGCACACTGCAGGTCGTCTGCCAGGTGTCCTGGTAGCACTCCCATGGGTCCACCCTAACACCGTGGGAGAGAAATTCTCTTGATTTCCATGCTCACTGACTTTCCTTAATCCCTTTCTAAGACCCCAGCTCAGAGAGCTGGGCAGGTCTGGCCATACCATGTGCTTGATCTCAATCAGACAAAAACCAGGGTGGGAAACACTCTTCTGAGCCCCAGTCTCCTCCTCTGTAAGAGGAGAAGATGGCGGAGGCTTCTGAGAACAGATGCTGGTAGCAGTCTGACCAGTTTAATCCCAGCCTTAGCAATTCCCAGCTGTGTGGCTTTGGGAATGTTACACAATCCCTCAGTGCCTGGCTTTCCCCATCTGTAAAATGGGATTAGCAACAGTAACTATCTTGTGGTTTTGTTAGAAAGACTTGGTAAATTGTATATGTATGGTACTTAGCACAGTGTCTTGCTCTTATTCTTACCAAAACCCAGGAATTCTGCTCTGGACCCTCTAGGATTATAAGGGTTAAATAAAGCAGGGCCCCCTCGAGTGGTGCCGAGGTTATCCTTGCTAGGCTGCAAGCCCTGGAGAACCAGCCCTGTGCAGTGGGGACCCTGTGGGCTTGGGGGGAAGGCATGGCAGTCAGACCAGAAGGTACAGACCCAGAGACTGGTGAGTCTGCTGCACACTGGCTTGTGAAGTGAGCAGGGATCCCGTCCCAGCCTGAAGCAGCACTCAGCTTAATTGCCAACTTAATGAGCTGCTAAACTGGGATATTTCTCAAACATCTTCTTAGCAGTTGAGCATTCCCCACACGCCCCACCATGCACACACACCTAAGGTTCCCAGCGATGACAGCTCATTCTCTGCAAGCCCTGACAATCAGCTCCTCCAGAGCCTGGCTCCTCCCAGGTCCCTCCCCAGTGCCAGGCATACACAGGTACCCAGAGATGGGCAGACACTTGGCCCGGTTCAACAGGCTCCCTGTGCCAGGGGCCCTCCCAGAGCCAGCCCTGTCTCTAGCACTCGCTCTTGGACTCCCCAGTGATCTCAGTGCTCTGACGCTGGTTTTCCAAGTGCCTAGACAGGGTCAGGCTGGCAGTCAGCACTGAGCATGCACCTGTTGAAGGAATGAGGGGCTTATCCCAGACACTGCTCGGTGTGCACAGCCAAGTAGTAACAGCAGCCTGCTCAGGGTTCTCCCCCGGGACCTCCTTTTCCCCAGATCAGGAGTTACATTAAAAGGCCTCATGTCTAAGCTGATCCTTTGGTCAAGCCATGCGACTTTTCTAGCCTGCAACTCACAGGAGATAGGCAGCTGCGTCTGTCTTGGAAGGGAGGAGAGACTCTAACTAACTGGCATGTGCTTCTCACCCAAATCACTGTGCCCAAGTGACAAGGAGCACTGTCTAATTATCATTGTGGATCCCCTCCACTGCTCCCATTTCCAACTTTGGGGCCCTTCAGGGCTCACGCATCCAGAGGTCAGCACTTCTCGCCTTTCATGGAAACCTCTAGATGCTACTTACTTTCCATGGGGGAAAAAAACGACAGCACAGTGGGGAGCCATTATTTCTTTAGAACGTCATCTTCTCATGCAAATTATAACGGTTGGAACTTTGGGGAGCATAATTAGCATAATTAGTGGAAGCCTGCTTTAATTACACTGTAAGCTCTGTGGTGGGGGTTGGGGGGAACCACCATCCTAACTGCGTGTCTGAACCAGGCAGAGTGCAAAGCCATGGCTGGCTGTGACTTGGCATGGATGCCATCAGGGGCAGTGCTCGCAGGCCACCCCTCTGTCCCTGTTCTTGTCCAGGGGTCAGTGTGCGACCCCTAGAGGATGCAAAGTTGCCAAGGCACAGGAACATTCCCTGACGGGTTGTGAGTTAGTGCAGTGAAGTTTGAACAGAGTGGGAGGCATGTCTGATGTTCTGCACCAACCTCACCAAAGCCCCAGCGATTTTTTTTTTTTTTGCCAGCTCTAAGAATCATTCTAAAACCAGAAGGCACTGAAGAAGATGAAACACGTAAATTTCCCTCTTTAGTTTCAAGGGCCCCATAGATTGGTTCAAAAATTAAATTATCATCTGGACCTCCCCCACTCTCAGAGGTCTACACATTAGACCTGCATGGGGTCCATCACCTCTCTCCCCTCTCCCCACCCTTAATGAGCCAAATCACTCTGGGACCCCTGCTCCTTCCACACCCCACCCCAGGAGTCCCACACTGCCTGCTTCAGTGGAGGCAGAGTGCAAAGCCTGCGGGCATCACCGAGTCAGCCCTACCTGATCCAGTCGGAGTTCTGGACGGCCAGCTGACACATGATGAGACGGTGCCGGCTTGACACGAGGCCCTGGGAAACAGCAGAGCAATGATCGGTGAAGGGGTTAAAAGCCACCCAAGCATCTTAAGACATTGGAAAGGGCTCATTCCTTGGCATGGGGTTCACTCAGTGTGTTTCCATGTGGTTTTTCTGACACCTTAATAGGGAAGATTCATTAAAACTCTGTGGACAGAAGTCTGACTGTTTTTTCCTATTTTTCCAAAATCTTTTCCAGAGGGCCTAGGGGGAGTCATGCCAACAGATACTGACAGACTGTTCTGGATCATTGGTAATAGGATTCTTCCTCCATCCTGCTCCTGGAACAGCGCTGGAGTATCTCTGTGATGTATATTAAGCCTCCCTATCGCTGTTAAAGGACATTCCTTTCTGATCTCAGCAACTTTCCTTTTCCAATAACCAGCCTAAAACCTGTAAACCCACCTAGAATCTATAAACCTCCCCCCATGTACCACCTTTTTCAGCCAGATCAATGGAAAAACTCTTCACTAAATTCTAAACTCTCTCTCATTCTTAAAATCAAATTAAAGGAAGCCCTGTACCTGATCACCCAGAGAGATAGGGACGTTTTGCCTCCTCTCTGAGCCTAGGTCACTCATATTCTGTTTAGGAATAAATCCCATTGGGACTAGCAGGTGGCGTGGTGGCTAAAGGCGCTGGATTCCCAGATGGCTGACTATGGTTTGAGTTCTGGACCCAGTGGCTTTCTTTCTCGCTTTCCCTTTCTCTCTTTATCTGTTTCTGGGCCAAATTTTAAATTAATAATAACAAATGGAATTAAATAAATAATTCTTTAAAAAAGAAAAGAAAGAAACCGCATTAATTATTATTTTGTACAGAGTGGGTTATTTCCTTCAACAACTCCCAGGTGCTTCAGACATGCTTTCTCCTCCCCCCTTTTTCTTCCCACATTAGTTGGCCCTTTCTTGACTTCCTCACAGATGGCTGACCTTGTATTTTCTAAGTTTCTGCCTTCAGATATGGAGATTGAGACTGTCCCTTGCTGACACTGAAACATCAACAAACCTTCAAATACATGGCAGATCAAAGCAGCCAGACATGACACCCAGAGATAACAACAGCAGAACCCAAGGACCGACAGATGCTTGTCCTAGGATCGCTCTCATTACCCAACCACTGCCCCCTTTCCTCAGGTCCCAGGGAAAGCTCCTTTTCCCACCCCTCAAAGCCGATGACATTCTCCACATCTGCGCCCTTTCCCCTGTTGGAAAGGGAAGAAATTCCTTCCTACATATTATCTCTGAGTCCCTAAATTCTTTCCCAGCCTGTGACTCGGCCACCCTAACTTTTCGCAGAGATCACCCTAATAATCGGAGACTCCCTCCATCCCCACAGGATCCCCGGAACACAGCTCCAGTCAGCCCATGGTCAAAGTGCAGCCATTTTCCGGTGGTGAGGGAATGAGAGATGTGACACCGTTATTTGTCCCCACCGACAGACACGGATGAAGGGTGTGTGTCTGCGGCGCACGCCACCCCACCAGGGTCCATAAAGGAGCCTCTCTGTGCAGAGTAGCTGCTGTGTGTGTGCATGGAGGTGGGTCGTATCGTCACATGTGGCTTTGTCTTATGGTTCAGCCTGGCAGTTCAAGTGACTTCCCCCAGAACGGGAGAATGGCTGATAGAGCATCGAGATTTTCTGGGACATGCGACAAAGAGAGAAGGGCAGGGAAATAAAGTTTAAGTCAGATCATAAGAAGCATAGACCATTTTGTCCTAAAATCCCAGGGAAGTCTTGCCTGATGTAGCTCAACACACAACTAGCCACCTTGGCAGCCATGCCTCCTCCTACCCCACGGTGTGCCCGCTTCTCCCATAATGAGTTCCGCTGGGCTGGCGCTGTGAGCATGCCTGCTGGTGCACAGCTGTTCTCCCAGCTGCTGCTCCAGCGTCCACCCCACCCTAAGTCTGACTGGCCTCAAGATAGGAGGCAGGGTGGCTGCACCAGGCATTGAGCATTTCCCCTCAGCCAGGGTGGCAGTGGGACTGTTTCATCCCAGAGCAGCTAGCAGGTCAGGGAGGGAGGTGGCAGAGAAGAGGGGCGAACGCAGAAACCCACCTGTTTTCCATAGGAGTCGTGGACAGGGGAGACGATGCCGCCAATCACGATAAACCTTCCGGTTTTGTGTAGATAATCCCTGGCTCTTTCTAGTGAAGAGAAGAAAATTGCACGTTAGGAAGACGAAAGGTGTGGATCAAAGGTGATCATTGAAATCGATGTGTTCTGTGCTGTCACGCTAAAGTGTATTTCCTGCCTCTCCTGCCATCTAAATAGAAAGTGTCAACGTTCAAAGCAAATGTCGGTGATTCAAAAGGTTATAAAGCCAGTGTTCAGCCCCTAAAGCAAAAGGATTTAGAACTCCAGGAGGTTAATTCTGTTTTAAAGGCCTTCTGTGGGCGGAGCTCGGTGTAGCTCTGAGGGGTTTAAAACAACGTCTTCATTAAAGGCCATTACAGCTATGGATTGGAATTTACTTGTATTGTCACTTGTAGAAAAAAATTCCAATAAGCAGGGTAGTTTTTTTTAAGCCTCCTTATAATATGAAAGATGTGCTGATTGCCTCATTTAATTACTCAGAAGAGTAAAAAAAAAATCAAAACAAATTTAAAGGGCTTTCTACATATTTATGAAAAATTAACTACCAGCTGAGACCGCCATCAGTATAGCTGGATGAGAAAAAAAAAAATCAAAGAAAAACCTTCTTTCCTTTGCTAGAAATACAGTGTTGACTTTTCATATTTATAGGACAGGCCTAATTTCATTTTTGTGATAAAGTTCAGTAAAACTAGGAAGGAGTCCGAAAACCTGGATCTACTTTATTTCCAAGGGACTCACTGTACAAATCCCAGAGGATCTGGGCTTGTACGGGCTAAGGAAATCTGGCATGGATTTTACCGGGAGGGAATTCGCAATCAGCGCTGGACAGCCAGGCTGGCTGTGAGGGTCACAAGTGAGTTTCTAGGATTACCTTGCTGGCTCTTAATACTTAAAAACAAGGCTCACTACATCTGATTCTTCTCTCTCTCTTTCTTTTAATGTGAAATCTCTGGAATGAAATGAATGGGTTCGTTTCAGAACCATGTGAGAGTACAGAATAGCCGCACAGTCATACAAAATACCACGTACTCAGCCTCCCACCTACCCCCACACGGCCCCCACCCTTGTAGTGATAATCTTGCACTACTGTGGCACATTTGCTGCACTCGCGGAGTCAACACTAACGCACTATTGGTGATCACAGTTCATGCTTTACATGAAGTTTTAGGTAAGAGACAGGGACCCTAAGAATACAGTTAGGGTGAGATGCAAAACGCCGGGCCTGCTGAGGGAACACGAGGAGGCCGAGAATTCCATTCAAAGGATCTCTGAGCCTGCCGAGTAGGTAGAACTATTAAAAATAATTTTCAAAATAAAGCCAGTATAACAATAATATGTAGCTTTTTGTGTGAACATAAGTTTTCAACTCATTTGAGTAAATATAGAGGAGTACAACATGTGCCTCATATGGTACAGTACGTTTAGTTTTGTAAGAAATTGTAAGCTTTTTGAAAAAATTACTTATTTCATTTTATTAATTATTATTATTATTAATTTTCGATAGGGTACATGTGCTCACCAGAGAGAGAAAGAGAGGGAGGAAAAGTGAGAAAGCAAGCTGCCAAATCTGGGATTCGAACCACAGTCAGCCATGTAGGAGTCCAGTGCCTTAACCACCATGGCACCTGCTGGCTCCTGCAAACCTCCTCTAAAGTGTCTATACCATTTTGCATTCCTACCAGTGATGAGGGAGAGTTCCTGTGGCTCCTCACGAGCATTTGATATTGTGGGGTTTTGATCTTGGCCATTCTAATAGGTGTGCCACATTTGCCTTTTAAAAGAATAACATGACCACCATGTACAGTGGCACACACTTGTAATCCCAACTATTTGGGAGCTGAAAGCAGGATCTGGAGTTTGAGGCCAGCCCGGCATCATACCAAAACCCTGTCTCTGAAAAAAACAAAACAAAACAAAAACAACAACAACAAAGAAAATGAAGCCAAACAAAAAAATGAATGAAAAAGATATGACTTTATTCATTTTCAAGTCTTATTTTGAGGCTGATTTAAATGCTTTGTAATAAAAACTCTTATGGTATTGGAGTGAAGTCCACAACCCCTTCTCTCTCTTGGTTCTTCATATCCATTTCCCTCAGGATCATTTCCATCTAGCCCTTGGCTGTCACAAACCATCAGCTGCAATAAACCAAGTCTTCCTCACTCTCCGCGTCCTCCGAGAGGTGCCCTCTCCCTCCTCTCCACTTAACCAAGCATCTCGTTTAAAGCCCAGCTCTACCCCCATCCAGCATGGACTCTGCCCAGCCTCCTCCCAGCCTCCTCTGGCATTACAGCCTGCTGCTTTGCTATGCATTCCTGGAAACTGTTTCTGAAAGCCTGTGTGCCAACTCCTCCTCTGTTCCATGAGTTCCTCAAAGACAGGCACTGCCCTGTGGATAAGAGGTCCCCAGTGCTCTACTCAAGGAGAGGTGACCGCACACGTGTGAGAAGCAAGCTGGTGTGAGATGATCCGCAGCATCTGTTCCCAGGTCAATGCCCTTGACGACGTCCTTTGAGCCACTGTGTGGGTTTAAGGAAACTCTCTGGTCCAAACGCAGTCCAGCCCATCGCCCATGCTGAAGGCTTCCTTGTCTTTTTAGCACCCTGCATGGCTTTATTATTGAGCAACAGGTGCTCAGCTAATGTTCACACATAGAAAGCCCATGTGACTGTCCCTATGCTCACGCCTCTAGGATGTCCTTCCACTGGGCCATCTTGGTTCACTTCCTTCCTGAGACCATGTTTCCGAATTTCCAGGGAAAATTTATTGCACTGAGCATTCTCACTGATGCAGAAGATGCCCCCCCCCTTCTTTCTGGCCAAGATAAGAAGACCCTTCCCTAGGCCAGCCCCAGAGTTCACCATCTCACAAAGAAGCCCCCACTCTAACATCTGAAAAAGGTCACTTGGTGTGCAATAGTTAAACCTAGAAGAGTTATGACTGTGACCGGGCAGTTTCGCTCAATTCAGTAAACATTTACTGAACACAAAACTCCATAATGGATGCTACAGGGATATGAGCATGAAGATGACTTTACTCATTATTCTCCAAAGAGTCACAGTAATCGGGAAAGCGCAATGGCTCTACGGAGAGGCACGTTGGCACAAGTGCTATAGCGGTGGCTAGCAATGTTGTTTTACTACAACCCACGGTAAAAACATGTTTTATATCATGAAACAAAACATGCATATGTGTGCATGTGTTATCTTTAACTGAAATAAAGATATCACAAAACACTATACTGTTACACACTGACAGTCATACATTTAAATACAAAGCTGGTCACAACCTATCAACCAATGGATGGTAACCAATCCTGTGAATGACCCTGTACTACAGAGTACAGAGTACTGAAATATGAAATACTAAGGACAAGGACAGAAAGGGACAGGGGAGATTATTTTTGCCTGGAGGAGGTGGGAATGGCTTCTGGGAAGAGGTAAGCTTTGAGTTTGGCTCTGAAAGAAGATAGAGCTTGAACAAATAAAGTGAGGAAGTTTTCCCAGTAGAGTGAGGTGTTCCAGCAAATATCCAGAAATTGCACAGTGTGGGACCAGCCGAAGGCATAATGGTTATGTCGCTGGACTCTCATATAGTTGACGAGTCCCAGATCTGGCAGTTCAAAACTCATGCTGGGTGCATGTGGGTGAATGCCCAAAATCCCGAGAGGAGAATGGAGGAAAAGGGACTGTGGCATGGCCATCTACCCTGGGGAGTGATTTCTCTCTTTCTGTCTCTCTCTGACTCTCTGGAGAGTGCACACACCCTATAGCAAAAATCTCTCCAAAATATAAAACAAACAAAACAAAAACAAAGAAGCAGAAATTGCACAATGTATAGCCTGCCACCAATGGTCTACTCTCAGCTGCTGTGGTTGGGCTGCACTGTACCTCCTGGAGAGAGATGGAGTGAGGGGGAAGCAGGGGTGCTATTGACTAAGTAAGCTGGAATTGAATTGTAGAGGGCTCTAAAAGCCAGGCCAGGGCTGTGCCCTTTATCCCTGTGTCATCAGAATGCATTCTGTGGACGACTTGCATCAGAATCACCAGGAGGAGGTGATGGAAATGCAGATTTCTAGGCCCCATCCATAGTCACCGAATCAGAGTCTCTGCACTCTTACCTAGTTCCTCCAGGTAGTGCTTCTGTTCTGTGAAGTTAGAGACCCATAAACATGATAGAAACAACCATAAAGTTGAGAATGACGGATGACAGGAAATCACTGAGACTATTGAACTAGGAAGTGATGTGCTTCGAGCTGGGAGAAAAAAAAATCCCAGAAGGAATAGTGCAGACAGAGGAAAATGCCTAGGAAATAAATATCGTACTTAAAGGAGACAGTCATTCCTGGCTGGAAATCTGGGGATGGGTGATGAGGGATGGATGAGGAGATGACCACTGAAACTTCCCGGAGAGTTGGTCAGGGCCTGCAGGAAGCAGAAGTTCCTCCTCCTTCCAGATATTTTTGTCTTGTTTTGCCTTGGGGGCTTTGCAATTGGGCACATCCTCACCATGTCATTGGAACATCCATCTTTATTATTATTTATTTATTATTATTATATTTTTGCTATAGGGCTTGTGTGCTAGCCGAAAACAGAGGGACAGAAAGCGAGAAATCCCAGAAGGGATGGCCATGCTGCAATCCCTTCTCCATTCTCCTTTTGGGATTTTGGGCACTCACACATACACACCCAGAGTGAGTTTAAGCTGTTGGGTCCGGGACTTGAACCACGGTCAACTATGTCAGAATCCAGTGATGTAACCATTATGCCATCCGCTGGTCTCGAACATCAGTCTTTTACACTGTACCTTTATGACTGCATTAATACACTGTAGTTTGCTAGGTGCCTTGTTATTCTCTAATAACTTAAACAGAATGCCAGGCAAAAAGGAAACTGCCATGGGGGTGGGGGAGTCAGGAACAGATAAGATTATTCTCTTTCCTTATTTCCCAAAGAAATTCTAAATGAGGGGACCAGCAGGTGTTGTGGTGGTTAAGGCACTGGATACTCCCACATGGCCGACCATGGTTCAAGTCCTGGACCTGGTGGCT